TTTTTTTTCCTTTGAGAAAGAGTACAGTATTACACTAATTTTTTCTAGAACGAGCTTCGCGACACATTGAATCGTCTGCGCAAAAAGACGAGTGAATCGCATACGACAATCAATAAGCATGAGACCAGATATAAGACCATTGAGGATAATCTGAACGACATCGAAGAGGGTGAGTTGCTAGTGAAAGAAATTAGTTCACAGATCTATATGCATTTGTACTTAAATCGTGCCTCTCCTTTAAGACAAGCGTGCTTTGGAAGCCCGATTGGCGTCTGCCAAGCAGCTTCTTCGCTCCCAGGAAGAAGCGCTGAAACAGCGCGATGAGGAGCGTCGACAGATGAAGTCGAAAATGGTGGCCGCCGAATTGCAGGCGAGGGGCAAGGAGGCACAACTGAGACATTTGAATGTAAGCTTTGCTTGGAATTTACGAAGCCTGACAACTAGTCCACATCGGCGATGTTTAAGGAACAACTCAAAAATTTGCGCACTGATCTGGAAAATGCTCATGCTGACATTCGTGCACTGCGAGACAGAGAGGAAAGCTGGGATGCCAGTCGATTCCAGCTTGAGAGCAAATTGAGGGAACACGACAGCCATTCGCAGAAACTCCAGATCCAAATCAGCACTTTTGAAAGCGAGAGACAGGTGTTGTGAAGGTAGCTATGAAAATATTTCAGTACTAAGCTGTTCTTACAGAATTTGATGGAAAAGATCAAGGAACTTGACGGAGCCCTCCGCCTAAGCGAGAATAAAGTGCAAGATATGCGCGAGGATGCCGACAAACTCAAGAGGGATCTGGCTAAGGCTGAATCTTATGAATCAGAACTGCGCAAGTACACTGAAACCCAAAGCAAGAGCAGCAACGAACTACAGATTCTCAAGGATCAGCTGCTTAATGCTCAGAATGACTTGAGCGCAAGCAATTCGCGCAAATCTCAGCTTGAGTCTGAGCTTTTGAATGTACGCAGCGAACTGCGTGACTACAAGCAGCGCGTGCACGACGTTAATGGACGTGTCTCGGAGCTGCAACGTCAACTGCAGGATGCAAACTCGGAGAAAAATCGTCTTGAGGACAGGATTCTAAACATGGAAAAGGTAGCGGTTTTCTCTTTTTGAGTCAGGCTGATGGCTGTAATGAGCATTTTACAGAATTTGAGTCAGCAACGCACAGCAGAAAACGAACTTCGTCAACAGCTAGACTCAGCTAAGAATGACAAACGTTCTGCAGTGAAGGTAAATGTGAAAACTCAATTTGCGGTAGTGCGGTTTTCCCGTGAAGTTTGACGGTTTAGAATGACTTTTCAACTACCGTTTGTTCATAGTTTTGAAAAGCGTATGATTTTGCCAGGAGCTCGAAGAGCTGAAGCGCCGTATCATGCAGCTGGAGAGCGAAAGACGTGCTAATTCGCAGCTGATGGACGGCTGGAAGAAAGAGAAATACATGCTTCAGAAGAAGATTGAAATGGTACATTTCTCTCCCCCCCCCCCTCATAAGCAGTAAACATGGAATTTGCAGATGGAATCAGAGAAGCGTAGAACAGAAGCGGCAATTCGCGAAACTGCTCTTCAGCGTGAAGCTATTGAGAAATCTCTTAATGCAATGGAACGCGAGAACAAGGAACTCTACAAAAACTGCGCTCAGCTCCAGCAACAGGCATCATAGTTTTCCCTCTTCTAAGGTTTACCGTAACTTCGTAACTATGCTCTAGATTTCCAGATCGCTCAGCTGGAAATGGAGAATGGTAATCGCATACTTGAACTCACAAATAAGCAACGTGAGGAACAAGAAAGACAGCTGCAGCGCATGAGACAAGAGAAAGGCCAGGTACCACGAGCTCCTGGTTGCGTAGTCTTAGTGTAGCGGGTAGGAAGTGGGGAGTGTTTCAGATTGAAAAGGTAATTGAGAACCGTGAACGCACTCACAAGAACCGAATCAAGCAGCTCGAGGACCAGATCGCCATCCTTCGCGACCAGCTCGATGGAGAAAGGAGGAGACGCAGGTACATGCAAAATCCGTTGCTTCTGTGGTGAGTGAGCGTCTGAAGTAAGCAATATTCAGAGATTTCGTCGACCGCTCCCTGGTGAACGATATCGGGCGCCTTGGAGGTACTGTACTTGGTATTAGAAGTTACGGTGATAGCAATCTCGATGCTATACTGCACGGCGGAAGTCGTTCTGTTGGGTAGGTCGCAACAATGAGCTGGAAATTCGAATTATTCATGTTTTTCTAGATTCTTGCCACGCTCCACTTTTGCATCGAATCCACTAACCCCACCTCTTGGAACATCGACGCCAACCCACAGCAGGACTCTTACTGACTATCGCGAGACATCAACTTCGTACAATCGCCGTGCCGATGACACTGGTATGGAAGTGATTATCACGAGTAAATCACCAGATACAGATCCCCCAACAGTCCCACATGCAGGGTACACTCACAAAGTTTCACCTAAAGAGTCGGCTTCTATTTTCATACCGAGCTCATAGACAAATCACCCCTTTTTCATCATTACTTTACAAAAATAACCTAACTGCTTCAGCTCGTTTTTACCTCAAGGCTAGATTAGTGCTAGAGCTCGCCTCCGCTAGATTGAAAACCAGATAGCTAATGAAAAAAGATAGCGATTATGCAGTAGTTTAACAATAGTGTGTTGATCCAGGTTCGGTCTACGGCGGATCAGTTCGCGACCGTGATTCGGTCTATGGCGGGGTTGGAAGTGGCGGTCGTGACAGCGTATACGGACGAGACAGTTCTTTCGGACGCGATTCAGTCCGCGAGAAGGACCCCTCCGTTGTAGACATACCCCTGAATCAAGGAGAGGGTTCCATGCAGACGTCATCCGCTAGCCAGGGGACCAAGTACGACACACTTGCACCAAACAGGGATGACCTGTAAGCAGCTCGCTCCTGACAACAACGCTAACCGACTGTAACCCTACTCACGCAGCTAGCAATCCTAACGCTTCTGCTTAATGAATCTTTCATAAGAGAAATCTTTTTCTAGTATTTTTTTCGATCCCGGTTTTGTAACATGTTCTTTTTGTATACGTATATGTTTATTTTGTAATGACATCATTCTCTGATCCACTAATCGCAGAACACTGTCATTAACTATGGGCAAAACAATACTGCATTATCTTTTGTTCGTATATATGTTGTGCTTGCTATGCTTAGTTGTAGAGCCTATCTAGTTTCTGTTTCATTTTCGATTTGTAATAAAGCTGTGAGATGTCAGTGGTGTCATATTTGAAAATAAAGCATAGTAGAATGTTTGCACACTGTAAAGGACAAAATCCGAGCTTTATTTTTACAAGCGCAATGAAAATCTTCTTTCAGCCTGTCCTATAAAGCAACACAGAAAGTACCAGACATTCTAAAAACTAACGAATGTGTATAACACCTACTGTATCAAGGGGCTTGAGTGTTCGATTACCGCCGGCCACCTGATTTCACGCGTATGAGGCGCGGGGGTTTTTTTTCCAAAAATGAGCAGCCTGAACCCGCCGAAGGACTTCGCGAGTGAAGGCCCACCGTGCTGCAGACTGCCTGAGCCAATCGTGCGGCATAAGGATCGCTTTCCGAAACACAGTGAAGCG